ATGTAAACACCGGGAGTGTGGGAGGAGGTGGGTGAGGATCTGGGCAGGGGAGTCAGGGAACTGGTTGGTCCTGGGATCAGGCTGGGCGTCCAATGCCATGAAGAAGGAGGGAGTGCCATTAACTGGGCCAGAGGGTGGAGGAGTGAGGACAGGTGTTGTGCCAAGGCCTGGCAGTGGGAGAACATAGGCTGGTGCTGTTGAGGGGCTTCGTGGAGCGACGGGGAGTGAGGCAAGAAGGGGCAGGGCCGGGACAATCGTGCAGAGTCTTGCGGGCCATGCTGTGGGACCTGGTCTTTCATCTGGGAGCAGTAGGGAGCTATGGCAGGTGTTTGTACCAGGAAGCGCTGAGAGCTTATTATCACTCCTAACAGCCCCTCAGCCCTCGCTCGGTCGTGCATGAAGAACACATCAGAGGGCCAAGCGTGACGCAGGAAAACCCAAAGCAGGAGAGAGTCACGTTTGTCCAAGTGAGACCCGGTAGGCTTCAAGGTCCCTGTTCTGCTGGGCGCAGTGGCCCATGCCTATAATCCTAGCGGCTCAGGAGGCTGAGGCAGGAGGATTGTAAATTCAAACCAGCCTCAGTAACTTAGCAAGGCTCTAAGCAACTTAGTGAATATAAAAATATAAAAAGGGCTGGGGGTGATGCTCAGTAGTTAAGCACCCCGGGTTCAATCTCCAGGACCAAAACCAAAACAAAACAAGGGGCTGGGGTTGTGGCTCAGTGGCAGAGTGCTTGCCTACCATGTGCCTACGAGGTACTGGGTTCGATTCTCAGCACCCCATATAAATGAATAAAACAAAGGTCCGTCAACAACTGAAAGCAAGTACCATGGAGGGGGCAGGCATTGGGGGACAAAGGGGAGACTCTTATGCAGGAGACACTGAGGTAGATGCCCAGGAGAGGGGACCAGGAGCTCTAGACAGGGCTCTGAGGCAGATCTAGAAGATGCTGGCAGAAACCAGCAAGGTGCTTCTCCCAGTCCCTGCCACAACATTTAGGAGAACCAGGAGGGAGGGGG